CAAGAACCGCGCACAGTGAAAGCTCTTCCCTATTATATCAGACACAGACAAAATTATTACGAAAAATAAAGTATTATCAGGAATTTTAAATGAATGCTCTCGAATGAGTGAAGAAAACGCACACCGGCATACACCTTGTACATTTTTTCTTGTCAAAAGTGTGATCAATGCAAAAATATTGTTCATGGAACTGACTTATGAAGTGAGAAATTGATTCTTTCACGATTCCGGAAAATTCCGACTATTATTGCAGAATAAAACTGCATGTGCAAAAATGCAAAGAATGTATGTCGGCGGCGCGGCGTAAGTTCGCAATCACGTATCTCGTTTGCGGTGTTTGAAAATCTCCGCCTCTATATCACTGTAAGCCGTAAGTCGCGTTTTTGCAGTTTGACCGTTGATACTATATGAAAAGCAATGTATATTTTTTTTTCTTTCTTTCTTTCTTTCCTTCTTTCTTTTTTCGTGTGTGAGGGTGTGTATGTCGCATTAGGTGGTTTTTAAGGAAACACCCAGATCCGTAGTGACGTTTTGCCTAGCAACAAAACTGCACAAGAAAAGTTTGGAAAAAAATTTTGAAGAGCTTAGTGAAACTAGAAAAATTATTATTGAGACAGTTTTCACATTATATCGAAGGACGGAAAGTTTGAATTGAAGTATAACCACGAGGTGGTGGATTGCGGTTATAAATAAAGCTTTTTCTACGGCATAGTTGGCTCAAATGATGTACTAAGACCGCGTATCTAGTTCCGAAACGGGTACTTTCAACGCATGCCAGTGAATTTTGTCGAACTTAATCAAGCAAATTTTTTACTGTGCCGCTCCGCACAGCAGCTCTCGTTTTTTTGGCAGAAGCTTATCTTCCGTCACTGACCCATTTGTCGCTCTTAGTCGATCTTGTCTTCCGATCGTTTATTTTTGTTTTATTTTGATAAACTAATCAAAACAAACGCTGAGCAGCCTCCTTTACCGACGATCTGAGGCGTGGATTGTAGAGTGCTCTTCGACCACCTTTCTCTCTCGAAAGCACTCAAGAGAAATATTTAAGTGAGTGTTGGCTCCTTCACATCGCGGCCGTATTGAAGTGTCGTCTGCGCCCATTGAAAGTGCAACAATTACGTGATTAAGATTTTCTTTGTTAAAAAATGTGAACCTCTCGTAGCAGTACACCATAATTTCGTTGCTGATACTATTTTTTGTTTTATGTCCTGCTCGAGAGGTGTACATAAAAAATTTTAACAAATTGCCGTTGCGTTACCTACGTAATTTATGAACGTTCCTCAACTGTAATTTTTTTTTTTTTTTTTTTTTTTTTTTTTTTTTTTTTTTTTTTTAAGGAATTTTATCTAAATATATCGTAACCACTACAAGTATTTCCTTGTATCTATCTTCATGGTTTAAAACTAAAACTGAACGAATTGCATTAACTTTACATGGCAACGTAAGATAATACGATGATTATCTAAAAAAACAGGAATTATAAAATTCTCTGCCTTCTTGTTTAGAGATATTGAAACATAAAGGTTTTAGTTTAATTGTTTCACATTCTTCCTTTCGCACTCCATTCACACTCTCATTCTAACTGTGAAATCCGATGGAAATTGCATCAAAATCAGGAATACAATCTCTTCTGAATGCTCGAATGGAAAGCTTATCTGCAGAAAGAGGTTTTAGTTTTTTATGCAGGCAAGATGTTGAGTTCCCGTGTTCCTTCACATTTGCAACTTGAGATGATCACGATGAGATGAGTGGCTTGAAAAGAGAGCCACTGGGAGACAGCTCTCAGCAGTCGGCTCTGTAACTTATTTATGTGCATTCCTCCATCCATCATTTGAGCTTGATGAATATGTGAGGAATCCAAATACAGAAGCTGCCCCGTGAGTCCGGCCTGCATTTCTCGCTCTGAAGGTTTCGGAATGTCTCCGTCGAAAAGTGAATTTTACCGTATCAGTGAGTTTCATGGGAGCATTTGCAATCCTGTCAAATTTGCACGTATTCCCGTTTTTGTCCTTTGCGATTTCAGACTTTTTTTAAAAATGTATATCTCATGCTCTTCGCATTGAAGCTTACATACTCAACTCTATTCCGTCTCTCTGTTTTATCTCTCTTGGAAGTCACCCGTGAAACGCCTAATTTCTGTGCCTTATAGTTCGAGAGCCAGACGATATTTAGTGACAAACTCGAAGTTTTAACCTCTTTTTAAACCGATAGCCACATATGCGCTGACATGGAAATTGCAGGGTTGCCACGGTCAGAGGATACCGAGAAAACTGGGAAATGTCATGAAAAGTAAAAAGTCAGGGGAAACCTGGAAATGTCAGGGATAAATTATCAAGTCACCTTTGTTTGCTTTTTAGTATGGGTTTGACGTTTCGAACAATAAATGTTGCCTGGAAACTATTTCTTGTCTTTTATAAGCAATCTGGCATATCTTCAATTGTCAGGGAATTTCACCAAAAAGCGTCAGGAAAATCAGGGAAATGTCAGAAACATTTTCTAAATTCTGTGGCAACCTTGAAAATGGTCATCTGTCACGTTGTAGCGAGTGCCATTGCGTGGCAGACAACCATATTCCGTGTCAGTGCAGATTTTAGTGGTCAAAACTTGTGTCACGATTTTGTCACTGAATATCGTCTGGCTCTCGGACTATGAAGTATTTTAGCCTCATTTGGAGAAATAGCACGAAAATTTCCTCCTTCTGTCTAAACCCACATGACCGATGAGGTCCAGCAGAATTATTATTTCGACTCTTCTTCTCGCTGTCAGAGCTTTCACAAAAAAAGAGGGCGCGCCTGGGCTCCATCTAGTTTTCATTATCTCTCCTCAGAATCTTTTCCCCTGAGGAACCCTTATTATTCGCTGGGAAGAGCGTTCTTTGCCGTTGCCTGGTGGAAGGATTAAAGGGATCTCAAGGAGTTAAGATTGATAAGCTTCTAAATGAAATCTAAATTTATCCGAAGCGAGAACTTGAGTTCCGCCAAGAAGCATATCGGATGAGAATTGGTTGCTTGGCGACCGAGTAGCAGGTTGTAGAACAGTCCGTCGCTCTCGGCCCAGAGCACAGGGGTGCACGGCTCCCAGGCCTGAAAATGCAACAATGCCGGTGGGTTTTAAATAGGAGTTGAAACCCTATCTGTCCGCCTTTGCGTGGAGCGAGGATCCTAAACTTGGCTCGCTTTTATATTATGTTGCCCTATTTGCGACCGTTCACATTTTACAAAAAAAAGGTTTTGTAAAGGCTGTCGCGTGGTCTATATACGTCTAGTAGAACCGACAGGGTTGAAAATTAAGCCCCGTCGTAAATGAGCAGTGGCGTGGCGTGCTTTGCGATATATCGGTTGTTCTGTCATTTAAACGTATGGAAAATGATCGATAGATTGCAGGGTGTTCGCAGCGAACACCTCAATAATCGATTCTTTACCGCAGGTTTAAATGGCATAACAATCGATACAACGCAATTCACGCCACGCCACTGAAAATGAGACGTTGGGTGCAGAAAGGAAATTTCGTGGTTGCGGTGTTTCAGAAGTTCTAGTGCTAATTTTTATTACAGAGAGGGAACTTTCGGGTATATTGCAGAAATTTTAAATTTTCAGCATTGTAAAATCATAAAGAATATTCGGTAAAAGTTGCGACAAATTACATACATCTGCTTTAATCATAATGGATGAAACGTTAGTGGAGATTTTGAGACACTGCAACCAAGAATCATGCCCTTTTTCACGCAGCGCCTCAAATATTTTCCCATGGAAGTTGACGCAAAATACGCGATGGACGTTTTCCAGAGTGCGGGTCATAAACGAGAAATCAGCTTTTTGGCGGGAGCTCATTCCAAATTCCAGTTCGTTAAGAAACCGGAAGTCCACCGAAGTAAAATTATAAGCACTAAACTAACCCCATAATGTGTTTTTTAATAGAGTAATCATAAGTGTAAAAGTATAGGAGAGTTCACGCCAAATAAGTTACTGCACTTTTAGACTGCGATGGAAGATCCTATTTCTTGCTGGCTGATTGGCTTCTGATCCGATTGGAACCTACAGCCATCTATAGAGTAGATTTATCGTCCGTAGACATCAGGGCGATAGGGACGTTGATGCTCCAGGCTTTTCAATTTTCAAGCATGAAGGCCGAGTAGAATCTGTTCCTGCAGGTCTACTCGTCAGTTCCGTGAAAATTTGACGCCACCACCGGGATTCGAACGTAGGCCGGGACCTATTGACCTAGAGTCAGACGCGCTGACCACTAGGCTAACCTGGCCGGCAACAATAATCTTTCTATTCCTACATAATTGATCGACCTTTGCTCGAGAATAAGTTTCTTGGAGGGTTGATGACGTTCGTCCGTTTGATTGGCGGCCCTGTCTCCTGCTGACGTCTCGATACCGCACGCAACACACTAAACCCGATTTATTTATGAACAAAACAAAATTCGGGTGGTCCATTCCTGTTCCGGGTCAGGAGAAAACCAATCAAGCTGAGTCATTGTTTTGACGCTCGATTTAAAATATCCGGACTGTCGCATGTCGCAGCTAAATTGGTGGCCTTTGCTTCCGTGTTATTGAGACTAGCTCTTACCGTCGTATGAAAGGGTAGCCTGCGTGGTTTCCCTTAAATACATAGGAGAAAATCACAGGTAGTTAAGTTAAGTTTACGTTTTCGTGAGGATGTTGCGTCAATAATGTTTAATGTATTTTCTTATTGTTTACACACTATGGGTTATAGGGAACATTTCAGTTAAACAAGCGGATTCTTTATTTTTAGCTTCAAATGATCGCCCATGAGGATTCTAAAGATTATTAGAAGTCTGTACCACGTTATCAGTATTTTACCGTGAAAGAGAAGAAATATGCGACTTTGAAACGTAATACTTGCTTTTCTTTGGTTGCAGCTTCATCTCGAAGAGAGGAATATGAAAAGAAAGGAATCATGCATGAATGTAATAATTTTAATATAGGGCTCTGCAATCTTAGTTTAACAAAAGTATCCATTTTGGTTTTTCAGGAACCCGTGGTGCACGGTGACTTCGGGTTAATCGAAACAAATTCCATCCTTTCTTCCAACATTCCCGGTAAGTTTCATGCATAAAATCCCTTCTCTGCATCGAAATTTTTGTGCGCTTGTTTTTGAGTTGTTGTATTTACCAAGTAAGGCGATAAGATTGAGACTAATGGAATAGTTTACGTATTCGTAATGGACGAATTAATCAAAGACAGTTTTACTATACCAGACATTGCCTAGTTTTTTCTCGTGTTATTCTCTCGGTGAAAACCAACAATAAGCAACACTCTGTCTCGAAATTGTATGAGCGTATCGATGGATAAAGTGCAAAATTACGTACCTCCATTGCTGTGTTCAAAATTTTCCGTTCCTACTTTATTTTTTTGAAGAGAAACGAGTGAACTTTACGGGTTGAAACTTGTACAGAATACTTATAAATGTTGGATCTTTTTTATCAAATGAACATTTATATAATGTTGTAGTAACTTCTCATGCATTTATCATAATTTTCTTTATAACGATACCTTTAGTCATTGGTGGCTTTGGCAATTGGCTTATTTTTAATAATTGGTGCTCCTGATATGGCTTTTCCTCGTATGAATAATTTAAGTTTCTGACTTCTTGTACCTTCATTGATCCAACATGGGGAAAAAATCGAGGAAGTTTTCAAGAAATTACGCTGATTAGTTTTCCAAGGGAAAAATGACGTATGCCAGCAGATAGTCTGCAACGCCGGCAACGAAGAAACGTGGTTTCGCACTTAGGCCATCTGTACTCTCTCTCATTCAGGAAAATTTCTCATAAAGGTTTACGCATTCTGTAGTTTAATTTTATGTTGAAAAAATAAAACATTTGAGGAAATTGGGCATCGTGAAATGCAGTCAGGTTGATTCTAGTCGGACCCGACTTTATATATATTTGTTTAACCACCTTAGCATGAGGATTTGGGAATCGCGAGGGGAACAGTGAACATTTGGGAAGATAACCTATCGATCGTCATCGCGCACTGGGGCAAGGAAACTCAAAGCGCCTTCAGTTTTTGGTGTATGCAACACGCGCAAACGCAGAGCTCGAATAGTTGTATCAAAGCGCCTGTTCGTCCGCCGACATATCTTTTGGAGACAATTCTACCGTGCTAAGGAAGAACGCCTTATGAACCTTTAGGCGTTGCTAAATTTCATCTCTTAAATCTCGAATTTTCGGGAAAGTTTCTAAACATTTTCCTTCCAATTTTTCAGGTAATTTTGATCGCAATTTCACCTAAAGTTCTTGAAATTTTGTCGTAAAAATATACACAGATTTTCTTAAAAATGAACATTTCATCGAAGGAGATTTAGCGACTCTCGAATGTTCATACGGCATTTTTCCTTAGCACGACAGGCGTACCCTCTTATTTCGTCCTCCACGAAGAGCATGTAACACTGGAAAAAAAAAAACACTTTAGATCTAGAGTCCAGACTCTTAAAAACATCGACAAGAAAAAATACTCTTGATTCAATCGGATTTTTGCTTAAATCAAGAACCAAGCCTCTTAATTTGAGCGGATTTCCTTTTGATTTAAGCAAAAATCTGATTGAATCAAGAGTATTTTTTCTTGTCAATGTTTTCAAGAGTCTGGACTCTAGATCCAATGTGTTTTTTTTTTTCCAGTGAATGTTCCTATTTTCAAATGCGTACCCGCACGGACAGTGTGTGACAAGTTTGATTACTTTAATCAATGATATCGTTATCATTTTACAGCCGGCTCCGCAATTATTACAGGCAAAACTTGTCCATTCTCATTTTCTCGTTGCTACAATACTCCGAATATTCTTGTCGGAGAAGGCTCCGAAGGTCAGTAGCGAGTCTCTCTAATCTATTCACATCACGTCCCCACTTCTTTTTCAAATGGTCATACTTGCGCACTGCGAAAAGTTTCATTCGGAGTCCAGTTTTCTGGACAGACCAAATTGAGAATTTCTAAGAGCACAATAGTTGCTCAGCTCCCATACATTTAAAATAGAGTTGTTTAATTTCCCTAAAGAAAACCCCCCCTCCTCTTTTCTTTAATTTTACGCCCTTCTGCACTCAACCGAGGATTTTTTAATTATAAAAATTGCCACGAGGGCCGGCCCCGAGTAAACGGGAGATGAGAGGAAGCGATAATCCGTAAATTTGTAAACAAAAAGCATCGGGGACAAAGAAGTTTTGCAAAAGGGGTTGAAGTGGTCGGAGTAGGGGGGGGGGGCNAGTGGGGAGGCGGGGAGCTTTTTAAAGAGCGAGAAAAAAAAGTAGACGAGGTGACTGTGGCGGCGGACTTGGACGGCGACCTAGATACGATCCCCATAAAGTCGTTACACAAAGACAAAATCTATCCAGGGCGGCAGGCTTTTTCAAACTTCGCCTCCTATCTCAGCGATTTTATCACCGGCCTCTCCGCCGTTGCCGCCCCATCTGGAGCGCCAATCAGACGTGATGAACTGAAGACGGGCTCCATTAGCGAGCCCCGATACAGGGTGTCCCGAAAGTAAATGCCGCTACGTCGGGGATTCCCTCTTTATGCCATAAAATAAGACTCACTTTCTTGATGACATTATTTGTTTAATCGACTTTTGGGAAGGGGAAGAGGAGTGAACCGTACACCCGTGCAAGCGCGCTCTTTAAATGGTTTGTACTTTTTTGTGACCATAAATGGATAAAAGTCGTAAAGCCACAGGGGCGGACTGGCTCCAAATTTCTGAGGGGGGGGGGAGGAGTGTGGCGGGCCCTGACAAAACCATTTGACTCACGTAGAGTATTGTGTTTCTTGTGGGCGGGCAATTCAAATTCCCCGTAACTAATGTAAAATTAAAACGTTGATTTCTTAGTTAGGAGTTGATTTCAGTAATTTTTGATGCAAGAATCGTGTTCTACGTGAAATTCTGGTCGAGAAACATGTATCAGCTGTAGAATGCTTAGATTCGTACCTTGTCTAAGTAGTGGTCCATATTATCTTTTTAAAAGACACACAATACACTATACACTATTCCGCAATCCTCCATTTTTCCTCTTCTGATGGAGCTCTTGCTACCAAGCGAGTGAGCCAGCGTATGTACCACAAATAGACGTGTGCGACTTTGAGGGTAATATTGTCAATATCGTCGCTCTTCTAACGCAAAGGCGCACCTAAATTTAGAAATGAGCCGTGTAGTCGACATAACTCCTTCACTTTCAAGACTCTTATGGAAATGGAGGTAAGCGCCTACACCAGGGGAGCGACGATGTATTCGAAAGAATTACACCCTCCGGGATAGAACTCTGACCCAAATCCATCAAGAAGAAATAGTGTTTCCCAGGAGCGTCTCACCTCTTCCTCTGTGCTGGTGCAGATCGCAGAGGTAAAAATGGTCTTCGTTACTATAAGACACCGTCTTTAAACTTATTGATGGCAGTGCTCGAAAAGTGGGTACCACCGACTGCAACGTTGCAAATCTCCATTCGACCTACATATATTCTGAAAGAAACCGGACAACAGTTTGTTCCAGAAATTTTTCGTGAATTTTTCTCTACTTGTATTCAAATTCAATTTGAAAATATTTTATTTCCTGCTTTTTTGAAAAATTATTTAAGAATTACAAGGTATAAAAAGAAAAGTACGATAAAAATAGGACGGGTTCTACCCACTAAGATTACTTGTGACGGGCAGAACGCTGTCTTACAGTAAGTAGAGAATGAGGAGAATGTGATCAACAAAAAAACCAAGGGATGAATCCCCTTTCCCTCAAGTTTGTTGTTCCCTTCGAGTCGTTCCCTCTAGTTCGAAAATCCTATACATATATTAAAACACAAAGTTCCGAATCTTTGGACGTTAACTTTGAGAGAACCACCGGACCGATTTGCCTGCTCTTTTTTTAAAACGAAAGCCCCTGAGCTGTAGATATGCCGGCTGTAATTTGTTTTTCGATTTTCTCAAATTTTCTCGTTTAATTTTCTCAAATTTCCTCCAATGTATTAAAACTGAGGTCCAAATTTTTGGACGTTAAATAGCTTCAACTATAATTGCTCCGATTCCAAATAAGCTACTGCACCACCATTGCTAGCTGTGGAGGGCGCCCGCGCCCGTAGGGCGTCCGGAGCAGCTAGTATTAAAAAAAAACTTCAAGGACATATTTTGGTCGTATATTTTCTTTTTAAAATGAAACTTAATCTTGGAAATTTAGACGTTCCACGGAGAAACGCATTTATCGACTTTAACCATCGATTTCACTGCTTCTTCTTTCTCGTATTATAGGCATGTCACATATACAAAGTTTAGACTGTAAGTAACGACTGTAAACATTTACATCTACCATGCGTTTTCGGGCGCCTTTCCTCAGGCTTTGTCTATGTCTGAAACTCCTTTGTTCTCATTCCCACGTATCTCGTGTTCTTTTTTCTACGTTTTCCTTCATGAGTCGATTTTTTTAACCGTGTTGAGAATGTCTTACTTCATATGGTAAAACAAATTTCTCTTACTCAGAATCGGCTCTGTCTTACCGTCTAAGCTTAAAATATTATCATACACCATTGATAATTAAACATACTGATCAAACTAATTTGTACTACAAATTAATCTTATCAGTGTGTTTATGTAGTTTCTTTTTCTTTTCCTACCCATTAATCTTTCTTATTGAAGTCGCCTTTGTAAAATTAACAAAAAAACCCTCTTTAAACTGATAATGTCTCGCATGCTTATAAGTAAGTCGACGGCGTTATCATTAGTACAAATATAAGACCTTTGCTATACCAGGGTGTCTAGCATCAGAATTTTCCCGATTTTATCAGGATTTGAGGTCAATCAGGATTTAACCCCGATTTAATCAGGATTTGAGGAAAAGTCTGTCGTAAAATCAGGATTTGAAGAGTTGGCCGACCGATCGGATTTTTTTATCGAGCTATTTTTGTGGAGTTACATTTGCCTAATTTCTCCCCGCAAAAAATCAGGACTTGGTCAGGATTTGGAAAAATTATGAAATCAGGATTTAGCAGTAAAAAATCAGGAAAAATCAGGATGTCCTAAAATGAAAAAAAAAACTAGACACCCTGTACACAATATTTCTAGAACCGTCATTG